CCCAGTCGTCTAACCATCACAATTTGGCCCTTGTCAAAGTCTATAAAATATATCCCGCCCACTGACAGCTGCCATGACAACCAGATAATAAGTTTTATTCAGTGCACCGGTCATAATGGCAGTGGTCATAATGTTATGGCTGATTGGTGTATATATGTATATATATATACATATATATGTATATGCGCATCTTTACAAATTAATTTTTCCTTTCCTAAACAACTTCCTAAACACTATGACGGTTATATTAAAGTGGGACTTTTGTCTTCCTTCCCCCCTCCCCCATCTTTCACTCTATTCACCAATTCCCCCCTGCCCTCTTTGCACAGTCTCCCCCACTATTACCCAGCATCTGAGAAACACACAATCACAAAAAGAACTTTCAATCACACTAATTAAAACGACACTGTGAATGATAAAAAAAAAAAGAGGAAGTATCTTCCATTTGGTTGATGAGGCCTTGCATCAATGAATAACCTCATTGATGTTATTTATCTTTTTATTATCAGTGTAAAAATGTCTCTGTGGATATATGAGGGTGAACCCACCTTACCTCAGTTTGCCCTCCTTGTTAAATTTGACCTCATTGTGCGAATAAAGAATGTCTGAGCTCAATTATCAGCATGAAGTGTCGAAATAATTACTTCTAATGTTTTTTTAGTTGGGGTGTTTCTAACTTGTCACGATCACAGACTGGAGGCTGAAGTTTACCTACATTTTTAAATCTTCCACTGCGTCACTGGGCCCTTGTTATAAATTTGGCAGGTGCAGACAGCAGCAGCATTAAAGCAAAAGAAAGAAAGCTTGTTCAAAGGCAAAACTGATTCTGATCCCTGTTTTTGGCAGAGGACAAAAGGGCTGAGTGGAGATCAGGTTACTGCCATGTGACACTGAGGAATCTCAGTCCTACACTCCCTCTGATTAAACATTACACTCACAGACAGAGAGAGCTGCAGACATCCTATAATACTCTACAGTTTAGAGGAATATTATACAGACATCAGCTGAATTAAACACCCTGCAGTCCACCAGAAATCATAATGTAATACTTTATGATGGCTATATGCTATTAATACACAATAAGTTCACTGGAAAAGATCTACTAAGTCCCTGGAGGATTATTATAGTGGCTCCATTTGAGATAAAAATAACATACACAACGCCCTTGAGTAACATAAGAATACTCACAATGCATTATACGGTTTGATGAAAACACAGGAATGTTAATAACCATTACTGATAACAATGTTGTTAAGTAAGATAAAGTATCCATTAGCCGCCGCCAGTGATAGAGGATAAAGCTAAGTTAGTATAAATTCAATATTAACATTATCAATTTAAATGATTGAAGTGACACCGAATACTAGGCTATAGCAAGTAAAATAAAGTGAACTTTGAGCACATCAGATACATTTAAAAGTTAATATAACACAAAATGTAATAGTTTAATGACACAATAAGTCATAAAAATAGCTTTATAATAAAGTCACTTTATCGGTTCAATATTTTCCCCAAACTTATAACTGAGTTTTAACTTTTACACATCTACAGATTACTAAGGAATTGTTCAGGGAAGCTTATAGTGATACTTAATAAAATATAAACTACCATAAAGTCACTGCAAAACAACCCTATAGGTCTCTGTAGGTATATTAAAGTGACTATAAGTTGCATATGTGTATGAGTTGTTAGAAGTTAAACCAAAGAGTGATTTTTGCCTCTCAGATTGTTCTGATTTGTATAATTAGTCTTAGAGAAATGAAACTGCCCAGTTTTGAATGAAAATACAAAAAATGATTACAAAAAAGTCTGAGCATAATTTTGTGTGAATAATTTAGTCTTGTGAGCCTTTACATTCCTCTTGCGATCCCTTGGAGGGTCTCAACCCCTGGATTGGAACCACTGCCGTATAATTTGAATAATTTTGAATAATATATAGAAACATAAAGTGCCATAGAGTGCAATATCATCACCCTGAACTCACTAGGCATTTATTTATATGTAGGAATAGGATCAAAATATAATAAGGCTCATTATTGTGGATAAAATGCCATTTGGTGAGTCCCCATAAACTCCCTACAGGAGAGTATAACAGGATAAAAACACCATAAAGTAAAGTAAAGTCACTCTAAATACACCATTAAAACTTAAGAAAGTGAGTATTAAGTAACACAAATACACCAGAGGGTCCTAAAGCTAGGTTACAGGCACATTACGAAGACAGCAGAGGTGATAAAACTGTTTTTAGGTGAGTAAAAACTCCACAGAGCTCTACAGAGAAATCAGTCATTTATCATTTTTATAAACCTCAGATTTCCAGCTGTAAATGAGATTAAAATGATAAACCCCTCAGATGATCTTACATTCATTCATTCCTCTCCAAAAACCCGAATCCTTTCCCTCCCTCATGTTTTAATCCCCAAGGAGCAATAGTCCCCATCATGCGAGATTATGATATCTGCGAGTGGAGGGGGGCACAGCAGAGAAGAGGTGGGACGTCCTCCTGGAGAGAGGAGGGGAGGACGAACAAGAAAGAGAAGAAGAAGAGGGAGAGGGAGTGGGGGGCTCGGGGAGAACAAGAAGACCGCCGCACCGCAAGAAGTGACTTCAAACACCGCGCAACATTCGCTGCAGGAGCGCTGAAAGTGCGACCGCTTCTCCGGCTCTCGTCGTCATGCGCCTCGGCTTTTGAAAGCGTCCCGG